CAGAAAGGTGCCCCTGGGACCCCAAAAGCCGGAAACACCTCAGAGCTGGACGGGGGATGGCAAGACCGCCTCAGTCAGTGAGAAAAGCCATACATGTTTACTTCAGCCTCTTCTGTGTCATCTGCATTTTTTTCAATAAACGTCTATCACTTTTGCAAATTAACCTGTAAAACATGGACTGCAAAGATGCAATAAAGCCTACAAAAGCGGGAACTCGTGTAAGGTGGAAACCTGTCAGAGAAGGAAAACTCAAGTATCTCCCACTAATGTGATAGAAAAGTGATAAAACTGCACCCTGTCAAAGGCAGAAAACTGTGAGACCCAGAGAAAAACAGCAGTCGTGCCTCTCACAGGTTTCACCATACACATCAAATTCTGGATGCTGCTGCCCCTGGGGTGAGGGGACGGGGACCACGGATGGTGGTTATTCAAGTCAACTTGAGCTTTATCAGATATGTGTTATTCCTTTAAACAATGGAAGCGAACAGGGTAAATTGTCAACGGCTGTTACCTCACGTTAAGGCGCTCTGGTGGTGCTGTGGTTAAGGCACTGGGCTGCTAACCAAAAGGTCAGTGGTTCAAGCCTTCCAGCAGCTCTGTGGGAGAAAGATGAGGCAGTCTGCTTCTGTAAGGATTCGCAGCCTTGGAAACCCCACGGGGGTCACTATGAGTCGGAATCAACTCCGCGGCAGTGGATTTGGTTGTTGTTGCCCGTGACTCATGGCGACCCCATGTGTTACAAAGTAGAACTGCTCCTTAGGGCTTTCAAGGCTGTAATTTTTACAGAAGTAGACTACCAGGCCTTTTCTTGCATGGTGCCGCTGGGTGAGTTTGAACTGCCAACCTTTAGGTTAACGACTGAGCACAAACCATTTGTGGCATCCAGAGACCTCTTAGGGAGACTGGCATCTAAGACATTCTCCTTTGCATGTTTTTCATGGTGGGAAGCTGTGGGGCCCAGTCTTGAGCCAGCCAGGCATGTGGCCAGAAAGCACTTCTTGGCATAAAAAAGCAGAACACACCCATCATGTGCCGAAGTACAAATTTAATAAAGCCTTTGATCCCATCTTAATTCATAAATTATCTACAAAAACAAAAAAACTACAACTTTTTAGAGCCATCAAGTGTCAAATACATAACACTCACAATTTGAACATTAGCTGTAAAAGTACAGATCAGTGTTTGAGTTAGTGCAATATTTCCAAACGATGAAGAATTTAAATGAAAATGACAAACCACCTCTCCTTGCCAAAAGCAAAAAAAAAAAAACTGACACTGATGCTTATAAACTGCTCTCTCCCCATCCCTGACTGGCTCTCATGCTCAGGTAGTAAAATCCAGATGGGATCAATTTGTTTTTTTTGCAGGCTGACAATTACTCAGGCCCCAGCACAAATGCAGAAATCTGCTCAGTGCACACATACGTTCAGAAGAAATCTTCGAAAGGATTGAGCATGTAAAGAGTGGCAAGTCCACAGAGCGAGAGGTTATTAACAAACCTTAAATAATAATGAAAAGGTGTTGTCTTCAGATTTCTTACCACCTTTCCATCAACGTAAAATGCACACTCTGTTCCCAGGAGTCCAGAGGGTCTAGCATATTCAGGCTTATGCTACTTATGCCCACCAAGACACTTGTATCCAGCTAAGACTCTCTGAAGAAGGTCGTGGAGACAGGTCTTGCCTGCTTTGGTGCCAACATGAAGGTTCCTGCTGGCAGGTGTTGGAAGGGGTTTTGCTGCTTTGGAGAGAGCCACAAGCCTAAACCAGCTCCATGGAGCAACAGAGGAGCCCACTGGGCCAGGCACTAATCCGGTTTCTAATCTGGCTTCAGTCTTGGTGCAGGGGGACGGGGGTTGCAAAAGAAACATGAGGTGGGAGAGGGTGGGTGACTGAACACTGAACAGGGCCTTTTGCCTCAATTCCCTGCATCTGGGAGAAAGTTTTGGTGATAAAGGGAAAGAATGAGGGCAGAGGAGCAATGGGTTGGAAAAGAAAGCAAAAAAAAAAAAAAAAAAACCACCCAGAGGATGCGTGAGTTTCTTGGGCCTCATGGGTCTATGTCAGTGCAAAGGCCTTTGGGTTTCCCTGTGCTGAGGAACGGGTGGGGCAGGAGCCCCAAGTCTCTTGGGATTGTACAGTCTCTGGGGGTAAAGCCACTGCCGACAAGCCACAGTACCTCAGGTGAGTGTTTCCTCGTTAGGTAACAAGCTGGGTCAACAATGCTGCCCCGCAGGAACAACCAGACTTTGGGTGACAGTCCCATTTTGGAAATGGGAGCTGCTCTAAGGGCCAAGTTTGTTTTCTCCTAAACCCAGTGAATGCACTGTGGAACGAAGCCGGTGGAGATGCCTGCGGCTTGGTCTGCTAAGCATCCTCCAGGCAGAGGGGGAAGGAGGACTGTGTCGTGTGGCCGTGGCGTCGTGGGGCAGCAGCCCCTGAACGTGCAGGGCTCTGCAGCCTCGCCAGCAGGCTGCTTGCTTCCCTTGGAGCAGACAGGCCTGGCTGTCTGGAAGGAGGCTGCTGTGGACGGGATGGAGGCAGAGACTTTGTTGGGTGCATAGAGGCTTGGCAAGGCCTTACCTGAGTAAAGAGCTTTCAGATACGAAGGAACAGCTATCTTGCAACAGGCTGCTCCAACCCACATTGTGACAACAGCTCTGGGCCACTGGGGGTCCTGAGACTTGTTCTTGCACAGCTCACTCCCCAAGTTAAGGAAAGAAAAAAACACTCACCAGAAGGTCAAACTATCCAAAAGAGAAGTCCCTCTCTGCGTCGAGAGGCCTGGCCTCTAGACCCCTAGGGAGTCAGGAAAAAAGGAGCAACGTGGCCGGAATCTGGAGGTTTATTTCCAACACCCCCCTCCCGTCAGGATTGGCTGGAGAGTGCTACGTTGACTCATCAAAAACATCTCTAGTTCTCGAGGCCACTGGAAGCCTCATGGCTATAGAGAGGGCCTGGGGGCCAGGGTCCTCGGCATGTTGGCTGTGGCTGTGCTCCAGGCAGCCATGGCGCCTGCGAGGGCAGGTTGCGAGCGGGGTGGACCTAGGAGAGCTCAAAGCCTGTGTTCATGCTGATGGCATAGCGCAACTTCTCCCGCAGGACACTCTTCTTGCTGTAGTTGGGCAGCTTGAGCAGGTTGAAGCAGGTGGAGGAGGTGGGCAGGCGGCCCCCTGGCTCCCGCTTGCGGATGGTGAAGAAGCCACGGAGGACGCTGCCCAGGGTATCTCCGGTGTCCTGAAAGCACAGAGCCACTTAGGGCTGAGGTCCGGGAGGGGGCTTAGCTGGTCCCTGGCTGAGGCCTGGAGTGTGGGCACCATGCGTGTGGCCTGAGGTCAACCCCCACGCTGCGCACAACTGCCCTTAAGAGGAACACGCAGAGGCAGCGTGCTCTCCCTGCCAGGCCATCCTGAGCCCTTCCTTCCTCGGCCCCCAACGGGGACACTGTGGTAAGTAAGAGCCCAGCAGTGAGGTCTTTGCGAAAAAGTTAGTGACTGGTTAACCAATTTTCAAAGAGCCAGAATAGTGTGAAAACTGTTACATATTCCAACAGGCCTGAAGACAGCCTACATTTGCCTCCTGGCTAACAGCTCCTTGGGCCAACTTTCCCCTCGGAGAGGAGGTTAAGGACTGTCTCATGTCACAATAAGGAAGGACCTTATGTCGTGCCCAGAGTGTGACATCGTGAAAGCAGCTATACCCAGACGGCACTGTGTTTTTAAGGGGGGGATGTTGTTGTTGTTATGTGCCATCGAGTTGGACCTGACTCATAGCAACAACTCCTTGGGTTTCCGAGGCAGTATCACTACACAAGTCGATTGCCCAACCTTCCTTCTGAGGAGTGGCTGGTGGGTTTGAATCACCAGCCTTCTGACTAGCAGTCAAGTGCCTTAGACACTA